AAGATGGGTATAGGGATGACAGATACGAGAGGTTTAGCCGAGATGTCTACCGAGGTGGTAGGTATGAGAGAGGAGATCGAGACTGGGARCGACGAGATGGGTCGCGCGGACGGTTTGATCGCGGRGAAGACGTGAGAGGACAGCGCGACGAGTCGCGAGGATGGTACAACCGAGGAGACCGACGCGATGAGTCACGAGGACACTATGACTCGAGGGACCGCCGGAATGACTCGCGAGGGCAGTATGAACAAGGAGGGTCTGGAGGAGACAGGCGCAACGATTTGCGCAGTCGGAATGAGAGGGGGGAATATGGTGTCTCATCAGAACTATATCCAAAGTCGCCTGACCCCAATGCGGCCAGGAAATCGATGTCGAGGGGGGCGGACGATAGGGCGTCTACTCCCAGGAACTCATGCGTCTATTGTAGGGGAGAAGATCATATCAAAAGGGATTGCCCGGACCTTAAACGGGCAATAGAAGAGGGACTTGTCGTGCTTGACGATCGCAAGTACGTCAAGTKGGSRGATGATCTCGGAGATGTATCGATGTTCCCTTCGATGAAGGAGAATGTCGAAGCAAGGAGAATAAAGACGAGTAGAAGAATGCAGCCGGTCAGGAGCCAGAGCATCAAGATAACTTTTGAAGGGGACATGGCGACCACACCCATAAGAGTGGCGGCCACGAAGTCGGCAAGAGGATCTACATCGAAGAAGACTGACACGGACTACGTGATGGCAGAGAAGGACGGGCAGCGAGTTGATGGAGAGGAGGTTATCCTTTYGCCGCGGAAACGGGGAGTGAAGAAGTTTTTAATGAAGAGTTCGCTGGATGAGATTGACACGGTCGAGCCGCTGAGGAGGGCTCTTCGACAGCCCATGCAATGCTCTATTCTGGAGTACCTGGCGGCATCAAAGCCGGCTCGCAATGAGTTACAGATGATCACGCGCAAGACTCGCATACCTCTATCAGAGGAGGGGCAAGGGGCCCCTAAGGCAGAAGCTTCTACAGTAGCAGTGACGGGGATGATTGCCAGAGCGGATCGCATGGCAACAATCCTTCTTGATGGAGTGGAAGGAGTGTCTCCCGACAAATTTTATATACTCGGTAGTGGAGCGGTGGAGACGATTATAAACGATGGAGCGATACTTGATGCTGTGGTCGATAACGGCAGTGAGGCTGTTATTATAGACGACGACTTGGCAGTACGGGTCGGGCTGGGCCTCGATAGGTCGTATTTATTTGAGATAGAGACAGCTGATGGTAGAAAGCAACA